CAAAAAATAAACCACTAAAAAATGATAAAATAAAAGGAAGTCAAAAGTCTTAAATAATCCTGCCAATGGTGGTGCATGCCTGTAATCTCAGCATTCAGGAAGCTGAGGCAGGAGGACTGCAGTGACTACAAGGCCAGTCTAGGCTACATAGGTGAGCTCAAAGCCAGCCTGCACTGCATAGCAAGACCCTGTGTCAAAGAAAGAAAAAATAATCTTAAATACTCCAACCCTAAGGAGTAAGTCTTGAGGAAATAACCATGGACTGATCCCTTAAGTGGAGCCTTAGCGAGGCTGGCACAGCTCTGCGACCTAACTCTGGAGACCGTGTAATGCATGTCATAAATGACCTTCATCTCTTTTTTTTTTTTTTGAGACAGGGTCTTGTAGTTCAGACTGGCCTTGAACTCACAGCAATCCTCCTGCCTCAGTGCTGGATTAAAAGTGTGTGCCACCATACCAGGCCTTACCTTCATGTTTAAGACCTTTCAAGCCAGGTTTCTGCTTTTTTTTTATGGTACTGGAGATCAAACTTGGGACCTTGCACTGGCCAGGCAGGTGCTTATGCTGCCGAGCTATATCCCATAGCAAAGACATGCTAACTGAACATGTCTACGGGCTTAAAGATTCTATCTGGACTCTAAATAAATAAAAAGACATTATTATTCCAGCCATGTATTTCGCTTTTACATACAGTCAAGTTACTGTCACCTTCCCAATTTTTTTTTTCATTTATGAAAACTAAGGACTTCTATCAACTTGGGCCTGTGTGTTTGTTGAATGAACAAACTCTGCACAGAGACATGTGGCTGCTTCCTGGGTGGCCCTGGGTCACAGTTCCCCAGACAGCTCAAAAATGCACCCCCCCACCCGACCCTCCACTCCCAGTACCTAAAAAATCCGGTCTTTAGGCCATAATTCCGGAGAATGTGTTCCGTAAAGGCGCAGGTAGAACCCTGCAAGCGAAAGGCACTGTGTGGGCGGGGCCCACCCTCCAGCCCGCCTCGTGCACCACAGCCCTGGGTCCTGCCCCTCACCTTCCCCTTGGTCCCAGTGACATGAATAATGTTCAGTCGGTCCAAATCCTCCACCTGTGACAGAGAGACAAGCCCACCTCAACCACAAGACTCAGACAGATGGAGGTCCAAGTGGTCGTGGCCCCTCCCTACTTTACCTGCAGTCCACTCCTTGCCAAGAACAGCTCCATGGCTTCCAACTGTTTCTGGGGGTCACCTCGCTGGCTCTTCGCCTGCTCCAGGTAGCTGGCGTTGGTCTGCAGTGTGTTGAGCATGCCCACGGCATCCTGCAATGATGCCCACAGTGCACAGGTGGCAGGTTGTGTGGCTAAGGTTCCTCAGGGCCAGAGGCACCCAGCACACCCCGGGCCAGGCCGGCCCACCAGGCCGGCTGTGCCAGCCCTGCTGCCTAGCGTACACACTAGGAGGGAAAGCATGGCATCTTTCCAGCTCTGATAAAGATAGGGGCCTGCGGCAATTCAGCCAGGGAGAGCCTGGCAACAGGCAGCAAGGATAACAGAGTTAGCGCTGCTTCCTGCTTGGGTCTCCGCGCTCCACTCTCTGAACCTTTGGCCTCCTTCCCCCCTAGTGATATGCCACACGCCTACTGGGCTTGGGGCAGAAGTGTGGAAGGCTGAGGACCTAGAATTCTGGAGTAACTGGGGCTTCCACGTCCAACCAAGCCTGGGAATCTGAGGTTCCACATTCTGACCCTAGGAGCAGCTGTTTGAAGCAATGAAAGGAGAGGAGGAAGGTCAGAGAGGAAGATGTGCCCAGGACTCCCAGCCAGAGGGGGGTGGATACAGCCTCGGGAGCTGCCAGCCTGGCCAGGCGGGAGTGGAGGTGCGGCGTGTTTCCCCCATAACTGGATCCCACTTCAGGGCTTTGCAGGTGGTAGTGGTCCCCGCCTCCAACCGGGGACACCTGCCTGGCTGGTATCAGGTTCCGGCCTCTGGCGACCGGCACGGCAGCTGCAGACTCACGGTTCTCCAGCTTCTTGACCCTCCAGTGCCAGACTCCGGCCCACTCCCCAAGGCCAGGCATTTAGATCCAAACCTCCGGAAAGCTGGGACTCCACCCCCACAGCTATATCCCAGGCTCTTCCTTTCTCAACCCCAAACTGCCGGGTCCAGACTCCTCGGTCACCGAGCCCACCCGAACCTCCGGGCCATTCTCGAGGCTCCGATCACCAGCGCGGAACACAACAGCGTCAGAGTTCCCACCTCGGGGACCCAACTTCCTAGTCCCAGTCCCCACCCCCGACTCCAGAGGTTACCGCCCCTCCCCACTCCCTCAGTCCGGGTCTCCCAGCCCCCAGAAGCAGGCGGGGCCCAGATGCCCCGCGCCCAAGCCCGACCCACGTGTCACCGCACTACCGCCCCCCGCCCCGTGAGTACCTGATACTCCATGCCCGGCTCCTGCGGCGCCGGCCACGCGCTCAACCCCCGCTGCCCCAAGACCCCGGTCGCTGCACCGCGCGCAGAAACAGCTAGTAGGGACAGGGCCGCGCGCAGGTGGTTCCGAGCCCTCGACATAGTCTTGGATCTTCCGCGGGGTAGGCCGGCCTGGCAGGTCTCCGATAGCTCCGCCCAGGGTGCCTGGCTACGCCCCGCCCCGGCTCGCCCCCTGCCCTCCACCAATCAGCGCCGCCCAAGATCCCCGCCGCACCAATAAGAACCGGCGAATTCGCCATCTTTGAGAGGGGCAAGAGGCTGGGGAGCGGTGCGGTACTTCCTGCTTGTACGGGGCGTCCTCCAGGGACACCTCTCTTTTAAAGGGACACGCACTGCTTTCGTCTCCTTCCTCCTTAGATCCCTGTTGTCCATCCAAAAATAGCCAGGCGTAGTCAGCATCGCTCAGCCTCTGCTCTAGGCCTGAGCCAGTCCTGAGCCAGGATAGAACGACAGTGCTAGCTGAGGTATGGAGGTGGTGATAACGCAACTGACACTTGTGGGGTGTGACCTGAGGCTTCCACCAAAGGGAGGGAACTTCCAAGTGTAAGGGAGGAAAAAAATAATTGCAGAGAAGTGGGCCCTCCAGGAGCTGGTTTCGCCTGGCCCCCTACTGCCAGGATGCTGGATTCAGCAGGCCCGGCAGCCGTAGAAGGAATTTGGATTAAATGAGGCTGACATAAACATGGCTTTATGGAGAAAAACCAAGACCCGACTGGCACTTCAGAAGCTCCCTGGGGTTGCTGCTGTGGGGGGATCGATCTGATCTGAGGATCACCTTGGGGACCAAGACGGTTCTCTTTCCTACCAATGCATGGAGGACCCCCATTTGTGCTAGTGTGAAAAGGGAGCTCGGGAAATCTTTGTGACAGTAGTGGCCCCAAAGCAGGGAAAACCCGGCAGAAAACGGGCAAGGCACCAAGTGACTAATGGGATTGCATTACCTCCCTCTCTCTTGCCTGCACTGGCAATTATGAGATTATTTGAAGGGCTGGGCTCCGTGGCACAGGACTGTAATCCCAGTGCTAGGGAGGCTTTTGAATTCCGGGCCAGCCAGGTCCGTATTATAAGACTCTCTCATAAATAAATAAATAAATACTAAGAAGATATTAAAGAGATTGTTTGATTTCTAAATAAACAACTGAGATGTGAGGAAGATTCTGTCCCTCACTGAATTCTACTATTGGAAGGCTGGTGGGTGCCCAGGCCTGGCTCCCATGGGTGACCGAGATGCTTTCATCTCTTGGTTTCCACTGTTTGGTTATTTATTTTTCCTTTTTCCTTTTTTTTTTTTTTTTTTTTTTCAGAACTGGGGATTGAACTCAGGCCCTTGCACTTGCCAGAGAAGCGCTTATTCCACTGAGCCATCTCCCCAGCCCCTTGTTTTTCCTTTTTTGAGATGATCTTGCTATGTAGTTCAGGCTGGGCTTGGTCTCACTGTGTAGCCCAGGCTGGCCTCAAACACAGTGCTCCTCCTGCCTCAGCCTCCTGGTGCTGGGCTTACAGGCACATGTCACTATGCCCAGCTGTGGTTTCCACTTGTAGCTGTTCCGACTCTGTACACATACAGGTGCACATCATGTTACAGCTGCGTGCACGTGATTGTCAAGAAGCTTTGAACATCTTCTGGTTACTTACCACCAGTTTTCTGTACACACACCAAAACACTTCCTTCATGGGTAATCTGAGTGTATGTCCTGACATTTTTTTTTTAAATGTATTTAATACAGGGTCTACAGGGCCTCACTACACAGATCAGACTCATAGTGATCCTCCTGTTTTTCATCCTCCTAAGACCTGGGATTACAGGCACATACCACTATGCCCAGGCTCAATTGCTGGTTCAGCACGCCCGCCGGGAGGGGGGGGGTGGCACGGCATACCCGGGATCGAACCCTGGTCCCTGCATCTGCCTAAGCAGGCTCCTTAATCCACTGAGCTATCTGGCCGGCCCTGTCCTGTCATTTTCTACACTCATGAAATCAACCACTCCCGTAGACAGCAACCAGGTCGGTGCAGGTGACAATATCTTTTGCATCTTAACTTTGTTACTCAGCTGTAAGGTTAAACCAAGTGTGGTGGTGCGCATGTGTAATCCCAGCACTCAGGAGGCTGAGGCAGAAGATCGATGGGAGTTGGAGGCCAGCCTGAGCTACAGAGTAGTTCAAGCCAGCCTGAACCTCATGGAGACTCTGATTCAAAAAACCAATAAAGGACCTTCTAGACATTTACTAGGAAACGTGTGTCCTTGCTGTGGACAAGAATGTGCTGGAAACTCTCTTGGCACAGTTGCTCACACTGTCCTCACGGTGACCCTCTGGAGCAGCTATCAGTGCCGTCACCACCTTATGTTCAAGGTAAGGAGGCCAAGACAGAGGAACAACAGCGGGTGTCCAAGTCACAAAATCAGCATCTGAACACTGACGCAGTAGTCCTTACTCCCAGCCTCCCTCCCCGACCACGGTAGCACAGGTCAGGGTCTGGAATGGCTGGCCGGCCGGCCTTGCTGGGGGTCCAGCTCCTTCACACTCCCAGGTGCGCAGAGGGCAAGACCACGGGGAGGTAGGCGAGCCCGGGTTGTACGTTCACCACGTACCTTCCGGGGCCTGAGAGTGAGCTGCAAAGTCCTTTTGTTGAGACAGGGTTTCACCAAGCGGCTAAGTCACCCCGGCTGGGCTTGCCTTACAACGTTCACGTCTCAGGCTGCCTGAGCGCTGGGATGTGGGTGTGCTCCGCCACGCCCAGTTCCTATTTTTGTTTTCTTCTACCCAAACTCAGGATCTAACCTCGGGCCTCACCTATACTAAGGCAGGAGGAGCTTTACCACTGAGGTACAACCCGCAGTCCCCACAGACCTTTATATTCAGAACACTGTTTTGAACCATGAGCTGATTCACTGGCTATTCCTTTTGTGGTACGAGCTGAAATAAATATAGAGACAGACAGACAGACAGACAGACAGACAG